CAGGAATGGGAGTGGGAGAGAGGAGATAAAAGATGAGGAATAAAAGAGTAGAAAACCATGAGAAGAGAAAGAAAACAACAGAAAGAGGAAATAAAGAGGGAAGAAGTAGAGTGGGAGAAGCAAGGAGCTGAGGTGTAAGGCAGGACTCAGAGGTGCAGGGGATGCTGTACCGCAGGCAGAGGTGTGAAACCCAGGTAGAAATTTTGGTCTCTTGGAGTCCCTCGAACTAGAAACATTTGGGTAGGTCTTAAGAAAAGGCCCTCTGTTTTCTCTCCAAACCAGTCAAGGCCAAGGTGGTTCTACAACACAAACGAAAAGCCTCTAGCTCCTGTACCTCCCCCTTTCCACTGCCCAGAGACCAAAATTTGACCCTGGGAAAAAGAGTAGAGAGAGTGAGGGTTAAATCCGGGGGTTGAGTGTGAATCAGGAGCTGAGGACATTAAAGCTACAGCAGTGCAGTGGAGGGGACCCCAGCCCAACTCCCTTGGCCTCCCTCCCTCCTGCCCATGGTGGGGGTAGGGTGCTGGCACAGTAGGCTGAACTTCAGCTGGATGAGGGTTGCAATTAGTTCAGCTGTTGCCATGGTAATAGGAGCCCTAGGAGTGGGTACAGAGAGGAGGTGGATGGCTCTGTCTGGGGCGAGATGACACCTCTGAGGGCAGGGAGGGGAAAGGGGAGGAGCTGGTGAGTCACCTCTCCAAAGGACAGACAGAGGAGAAACTGTGACTACTGATTCCAAAGCCAGAGTGGGACCATGGACTGGGGGCTGGGGAGGGAGGCTGAGTGAGACCACCACCACTACCACCAACACCACCACCACCACCACCACCACCACTCCAAATAACTGGGCTCAGAGAGAACTCCAGGCAATGCCAGGTCAATGAAAAATGAGGTTTGGAAGGTTCTTTCTAAAATGCTGAGCTTCAACCAGGAATAAGACCCTATGCTGAAGCCTGCCTCGACCACCCTTATACCCACCCCTATCCTTGGAGAGGAGAACCTGATCAAGCCAATTCTCAGAGTCCAAGCACTTCCCTATACTTGGACTCAGCCTTTATAATATTGTATGTGCTAGATGACTCAGGGGAGAAAAGGAGAGGTTACCCATCCCCACCCTCGCCTTGGGTTATCTGAATTTCGGAAACCCCAAGGGGGAAGGTAGGAAGGGTAGTCACTGTGTGGCAGGAGCCCTGACTTGGCCCTTCACAAGCCATGCCCCCACAACTGGACCTCCTGACTCCTCCACTCTGGAGGGTAGGCAAGCAGATGGCTGGAGGACAGCAGGTCCCTCCAAGTCTGTGGCGGCAGCACCCAGGCTTTTCAAAGTAGGAAGAGCTCTTCGTTCTGAGAAGCTCCTCAGCCAAGCATTTCCTCCCAACCTTGTCCCCATCCTGCTAATGCCCTATTGAGTAAGGTTGAGCTGTGCCCCCTTTCTGATCAAAACCCTGGGGTCCCACATCAAGAAAGGAAGAAGGCCACATTAGGGGGAAGAGGCCAAGGGCACAGAGGTGCCCATGGAGTTAGTGCAAAAGCAGGATGGCTCAGCCCTGCCTGGGTGGCACTGGCAGTTAGGGGCATGCGGAGAGCCCAGGACAGTGATTAGAGGGGACGTTAGTGCAGGCCTATTTGGTAAGCGTGGAGTTAATTTGGCACAGAATTTGGGAGTGTGGTTTGGGGGCCAGAGCCAAAGCTCAAAAAAAGGGGAAGATTGTCAAAGTATTTTTAAGAGCTTCAAAACTGAGAGGCAGAGAAGGACACTCTCAAAAATCCAGCAGGAAAATTAATTCTTGGAAAAATACTGTCAAGTCCAGAAATAGATGGCCCTTCACCACTTCAGAGCTTTTGGCATACTGTCGGGCATCTTGGGCGTGGCTGGCACGGCCCCTGTGGGATGAAGTGGCCCCTGCAGGCTGGCACGAAATCTGAAAGGGGCAGGGGAAGGAGCTGGGACCATCTGGGATGGGAGGCTGCAGATCCTGAAGGCTCAGGGGAAGCAGAAACCTGAGGGCCATCTCCCAAAGACCATGTCCTGAGCACCTGAGGCATGCTTGCTTGGAGGGAAATGTTCTCCAGATGGAGGGACACAAACCTAAATCATTCCCCAACACCAGTCCTTCAGGCTGTGCTCACTGCCCAAGAAAGAGCTTTGGTACTTCCTAGAAGAGCCATGAAGGGCCCAGAATGGCAGGCACCCAGGCACCCAGACGCAGCACAGAGACCCCAGACACCAGCCCAGCCCGCAGTGCCTTCCAAGCTGGACCATCCACAGAGGACAAGGCCCCTGCCCCTGAGGGGCACAGAGACCACCCGATCTGCAGGAAGGATGATGAGGAAAGGGGTGAGAGGCCCCAGAGAAAGCATTTCTCCTTCTCTCCCAGGACACTGGCCCCTAGAACTGAGCCAGGCCAGGTATTGGTTACCTTGTCCCTCTCCTTTTGGATGCCTGTCTCCAAAGTCACCAGCTTCTCCTGCAGCTGGTCCACTGCTTTCTGCTCCTTCTGCAACAGTGCCCGCTCTGCCTCCCTCTCCCCCTGCAGCAGCGCCCGCTCCATTTCAGCCTGGGGACAACACCAGGGTCAACATCAAGGCCAGTCAAGGCAGCTGGACTCAGGCCACACTGGGGGCCTTCACTCTGCCTGAGGAAGAGTCCAGCCAGGGCCCTCATGGCTCACCTCTCGAGCTGACTCCTGCAGCTGCTGCTCCAGCTCCTTCACATGGACCTTGAGCTGCTCCACTCGCCCTAGCACCTGAGCCCGTTCATCTTCCAGGGCCAACACTTCTCCCTGGAGCTTGGTGTTAGGTGCATCTTCGTGCTGGAGAGGAGAGAAGCCATCAGCTGGAGAAGCATAGAGCCTTCCAAGATGATGCTAAGAGAATGGATCCCCATTCCTCAGGGTACTTGGAAAGGGCAGCTGAACTGAGCAATGCAGGTTCATTCGAATGGAATAAAGATTTACCACTGAGTGTCAGGCCTGGGTGGAGCCCCAAAGAAACACAAGTCATAAAGCATATTTATAGCTTGGTAAACTCATCAACACCTCCCTCTCTTCCTTGCCTCGTTTCTATACCTCTCATCCCTGATCTCTTCTCAAACTCAATCCTTTAATTACTTCTCCATCACTAGGCCTTGGCATCCACCACATATGCCTGCCTCCCCTGCCTCTTAGCAGGTCTGACCCTGGCCCCCTCATCCCACCCAGCCCCCTATATCCCACCTCCTGCTGGGTGCTCTCAGTGCTACTGCACTCCTCCTTGAGATTTTCCTCATCTGAGCGTTCTACACTCTCCCACAGGCGTTGGGTGGCACTTCCAGGCTCCTCATTGTTCCGCCCAGAGGCCCCAGTGGTTCCTGAAAGGCCTCGTGAGGGCCTCCGGCCTGCCAGTGCCAATGCTGCAGTGGCCTCCCCAATGCTGAGCAGCTCTCCGGCCTCAGGTCCCCCATCAGCCCGGCTGTACTCGGCACACAGATTCAGGATGGTCTCCAGGCGCTGGCGTTCCTGGGAAGGGTAGACAGAGCAGGGCATGAGGGGGAGGAGGCAAGGTCCTGGTGGGGCTAAAGCTAGGCACAGTGTCATCAGGAGAGAGAACTAGGATACTTGGGGCTCAAGACTCAGAAGCGAGTCAGGAGAGCCCCAACCCCAAGGTCTGAGGAGGCAGAGAGAAGGAGGATGCCCCAGCAGTAAGCAGGAAGAACCAGGCTGTTGTGCCACCTGCCCATGTGGCTAACCCCTCCCGTCTTCCTGTTTCCTTTCCCTTCTCATTCTATCCTAGGGTGGGCTTCCTTGTGGACACACAAGGACACACTCAGACATACATAAGAACACACACTGGTAAAGAGAGTAAAGACCAGATGAGACAAAGATCAACACTCAGGTGTTCATGCTGACACAGATACATGAAAATCCATGACACAAGGGCACACAGAGAGACCCCCACATACCAGCACTGACACACAAGGATACAACCTGTGCCCTGGACTTACATTAACAGACAGGTGCACACAAAGACACCAGCCCTGACATGTACAAATGCACACTGACACACTCACAAGGATAAACACTGTCTAGCATACAGACAGGTAGGGACTGACACACAGGGCTAGAAAACAGACCCACGGATCCATAGGGACCTGAGGGGCACAGTTTGCACAAAGGTGTGCTCAGCATGTATACAGCCTGCCAGACAGACCTGGGCCATAATCCTCCTCATCTTCACCTCAACTCCAGTTCACTTTCAGGCAGCCCTCGGCTCCTGGCTCCTTCCTGACAGAGTAAGTGGTCACATGCCCTTAAAAGACCAGGCCCATGAGTATTCCACGGCCCTTCCACTTAATCTGCTCCATCCCCACACACAGCGCACCCAGATATTGCCCAGGGGCCTAGGAGGGAAAGTACAATTATGCTCCAGGTCTGTGTCCCCCTCTCCCATTCATAACGCCCATGGCTCTCTGGGGTCCCTCTACCTCAGATGTTTCTCACAATGTACAGTTTGGCCATGAGCCCCCATACACTTACCCAGCTTCCCTCCTGTTGCTTGCCCAGTTCCATGGCAAAAAGAACAAAACAGGAACAGAGCCTCAGCAGCCAGGAGGCTGGGCCAGTGCCCCCGCCCTTACCCCAGGACCCAGATAAGTAGCCTGGTTGAGGTGGGAGGGGCAGGGCAGGCAGCCTCCAAGATTTAAAGTGGCAGGTGGGACAGGTCAGGGCTGGTGGTAAGGTGTGTGCTTATGTGCGAGGGTGGGGAGTCTGAATGGAGGAGTTGGGGGAGGCTAGACCCACTACTCTGCCAGGCTCACTGCCCCCTCTCCAAGATGAGCCCCTAGGGTGGACCAAGCTTTCTCATCTAGACAGTGAAGGGAAGATACAGTAACAGAAGACTGGAGATCCTGCCTCATCTCTCTCTCACCCAACATAAACACTTTCCGACACCCTCACCTTATTCAAAGCTGTCCCTACCTCTTCTGAAAGGGTGTCCAGACAAACCTCAATTCTGATTCTCCTCAAAACAATCCCAGGGTCCCTGGTTCCCCTAGGAACCTGGTTCTTCTGCTCACAAGAAAGAAAGGGCAAAATCCATTCTCCTGTACATATGCTCGAGTGTGTACACACCAGAGTCCCTTGAGCTCCCTGTGCTATCTGGTGAATCCCAGCCCCCATCCAGCTCAGATGCTATCTCTAGGACAGCTGCCCAGAGCCACACCCAGCCCCCAATGCACAACAGTACACACAATCACAATTACACTGGCTGGCCCAGGTCAAGCCAGGGGCTGCCTATCCTATTCTATTCCTCTTCTCTGTTGCCCAAATTCTCAGATGACCCCACCCATTAATAGATGCCAAAGTGAAGCAAGAAAGAAGGACCAGGGGCTTTTCTAAAGAACAAGACTTGGAAAGACAGGAGACTTGGAGTCTAATTCTACCTCTGCCAGAATTTGTTGTGTGACCTTGGACAAACCCATTCTTCTCTCTTGGCCTCAGCCTTCTCATCATTAAGACCTGCTTCTCAAACTGAGAGATGCAAAACCTCAACCATAAATGTGGTATGTTTTCCTAGAGCTTCCCTGAATTCAGGTAAATAATGTGAAACTTAATTTATACATTAAAACCAAAGCTATATTATAGAATAAATGCAAAATTAGCAGGAATTTAAAGCCTTAGAGACTTCAAAAAAAGTTCTTCAGGGCACCAGAACCTTGAGATACTGGTCCCTACTATATATCTTGGAAGTGGGAAAGCTTGAGAAGCACAGGCCCTGCACATGGGCCCCTCCCACTCTGCCAGCTGGCCTGCCCACACCCTGGCAGAGGCCCTGCCGTGGATGTCCACAGACTCCCCGGCATCTGCTCACCAGCCTCTCCATCTCCTGCTCCCGAAGCCGTTCTTGGCGCTGCCGCCGGTGGTACTCCAGGAGGTCATCCTCATTGTCACTGATCTCCGTGATGCTATTTTTCCTCTCTCGAGTGACAGGCACCCGTAAGTCCCCGCTGGAGAGTTTCCTCTGGGCACGGGGGCTCTGACGGGGCGAAGCCCCAGTCAAAGAGCCCAAACTGTAAGCTGGGCTCAGCCTGCCACTGAAGCTGCCCTTGCTGGGTGCCAGGGACTCCCCGAGTGTGGGTGAGGGGCTCCGTGTCCTCCGGCCCCGCGACCCCAGTGTCAGGGAGAAGTCCTCTGGTGAAGTCCCATGGGCTGCCCAGCGCCGCGGCCGGGGACTCTCTGCCACTTCCCTAGTTAGTTTGGGATCTGGAGTATTCCGGGAGGGCATGGGGGAGAGAGCTCGTCTGGACAGAGACGGGCTCAAGGGAGGGAGTTCTCGCATACTGTCCAGGCCCCGTCGGCCCAGGCAGGGGCTTTCAGGAGGCTGCAGGGTGCGGGTAGCTGAACCATCTGAAAATGTTCGGCCCACCAGCTGGCGTGAGGGGCTGGTTGTCAATACCCGCTCAGCGCCTGGAAGCTCACGGAAAGGGCTGGGAGGGCGGTCCTGAAGTGTGCCAATCTTGTTTCGGGGAGCAGGGACTGGAGACTGGAACTTGGGACTGCCAGGAATGCTGGTGGGTTGACTGTGGGCACCAGAAGCCGAGTATTCACTCAGATTGATAGCCACCAGAGGCAGCTGCCCACATAGCCGGGGGCTCTCAGTGGTTCTGCGGGCCTCCGCCAAGACAGTAGATGCAGGGCTGTCTGTCAGCAGACCCCGGAGGCCAGGGCTGGGAGGCCTCTCATGAACCCCTTTCCTGCCCAGCCGGGGGCTCTCAGAGGAGCGGGCACCACTAGGTCGGGACTGTGGGGGCTGCAGGGCCAGATGGTAGCTAGAGGAACGGGCAGGCACTAGTGGGGGTGTGGAAGATGCTGGCTCCTGCCCACTGGGTGAGTGGCTGGCACAGCTTCCACTGCTGGCTGGTGAGGAGAGTGGAGAGAAGGCTGGAGAGGTGTTCTCATAGCTGGAACCCACAGACATGGCACCAGGGCTGGTTGGGGGGGACAGCAGGTAACGACCACCATTAGTCATCGGCGACAGTGGGGAAGTTGTGGCAGGCTTCTTGCCAGCAGCTCCAGGTTCCTCTAGCACCAGTGAATCCATGATTTCTTGCAGGTCCTTCTCAATTGAGCTCACCAGGGAACTGTGGCTGGCACAGGCAGAGGGTCCCCGAGTTGCAGGCTGTGGGGTATGGTTCCCATTCACCAGGCTTTCTGATTCTGCTCAAGGGAAATGCAAAGATGCCTCAGGCCCTGGTCTTCAATTCTGGGGAGCTGCATATGCATAAGAGCATAAGCACTACCCCACCTCCTTCCAGCAAAGTTGAGCTGCAAAGACTTCAGAGAAGAAGCCAGGAGATCTGGGTTCTGGTGCTAGCTCTACCATTGACCTGCTGTGCAACTTTACCCAAGTCACTTTGTCCTCAGTTTCCCCTTCTGTAAAGGAAGAGGATGGGCAAATATCTTCTGCCTCTAACATTTTATAATTTAGTACAGAGTTGGCAATAATGCCAGGTACTTCTAGGCCTAGTTGTTACTGACTCATCCCAAGACTAGGTTCCTCTCTGCCTTAGTTTCTCCAACCTCCTATACCTCTCCTTTAGGAAGAACAAGTAAAGATTCTGCAAAAGGGATGGGGGCAGCTATGAAGCTGGCCAAAAGTTCCAGGGTGGGTTCCAGTCTAATAGGAAATAGGGCCTCCCAACACAGCAACCAAGACCAGGAAAAAACACACACAAAGCCTCCAAGGATGGGCAAGGGGTATATGCTGCACCAGTTTGTACAATCGGAGGCAAAGGAGGGAACTGATAGTTCCTGGAAGCCAGGTGACTAGCACTTAGGTGCAGCTCAGTGCCTCCAATTAGCCTATTAAGCCACACCAGCAAGAGCCAGCCTTTGCCCTGCCCTAGTCCTGGTCAACCAACCAGGAGTCCCTGGAACCACTGCCCTAAAAAACTGAGGGAGTAGCATGGCAAGGCTAGGATGGAGGCAGGATAAAGCTAACCAGGGAGTGGACAGGGAGCCCAGGCTTCTGAGCTCCCAAGAGGCTAGAAAAGACTGAGGGGTGGAGGAGGAGAAGGGAAAGCCTTTGCAAGACTGAGTTTGGGTCCAAAGTTATGGGGACTGTAGAGGACCTCATTCGAAGGGGTTACTATGGATATTGGTGTTTCCAGTGACCACCCATCTTTCCTCAGATCCCTAGACGATTCACTTAAGCCACCAATGCCACTCTGCTAGGTGTACCTGACATGTATGTCCACCTGTCCCAATACTATGTTGACACCTGTCATCCCACAGCCATCCGAATGCCCATGCAAAGTCTCAGATAGGAAGCTCACTGGCAGCCTCCTGGTCTACAACTGACCCCCTAAGCACTTGGGCTGAGGGAAGCTGTGCCAGTTCCCTGAGACAATCACCAGCTCTCCTCTGGGGATCAATAATTCACACATAAACTGCAGCTGCTCCACTGAGTCATCAGCTGGCATGGCCTGGTATGGCATGGCCTGGGGGTGGGGCAGGGCCCAAGGACAAGATCACCAGCAGGTGGGACCCACCAGAGCTTATAAAGGTTCAGCCTAATGCTTCCTTCTGCCCCTTGGGGTGAGGCTCCCTGGTTGTAACACAAGAGAATCAGGGTCCCAGGTGCTGAGGTTGTATCTTCCAGAGCAACGGGACACAGGCTGCCAGAGCCCTCCATTTCTCAGGCACATTTCCCAATTTCAGCCAAGCAGCACTTCTTGGCTCTCTCATAGTAGCCAGACTGCCTGGCATTCTCCACCACTGGCCCATGGCAGATGGTAGCAAGCCCAGATCATGGGTATTGTCCTGCCCTGACACTACAAGAGTGGCTAGAGTGGGTGAAGAGGAGGAATGTCCAGGGGTTACCACCAACCCAATCTCCTGCCCCAACTGGGTACATACCTGGGCCAGGACTGTACGGAGACCCAGGAGTACGGCCCCCGGCAGGAATCATGCTTTTCATCCACTTGGCTTCAGCCGGGTGGTTAAAGCGGAGGAAGGTAGATTGACCCAGGCACAACATACAGCCTTCAGGGAAAGAAAATGCTTAGAAGGGGAGGCAGGGGTAAGGCAACCCTCACCCCACAGCACTAGCAGGCTCACCCCAGGCTCCAAAGAGCCATCTCCACCTGCACTTACAGTATCCACAAGGTCCACGCCTGACCTCGCCTGTGCTGGAGACAGGCACTGGCAGGGCTCAATAGCACAGGGCAGAGTCCCAAGATCCAAGTACTAGTCCTAAGTCGTCTTCTTACCAGCTCAGAGATCTTCAGGTGAAGTTACTTCACCTCCCTGAGTGTAGTTTTTTCATCAGAAACATGAGGACGATACCACTGACTTCTCAGAGTTAATAAGACAGTGCATGTGAAAATGTTCTGTAAATGGAGAAGCTTCTTCAGAGAACATGGACATGCTCATCTCTTCAACTCAGCCTGCACCCATGACTATCTATCGGTCCCTTGGGTGGAAGGGTAAGTTAGAAAGGTAACAAATTCCAGGATCACAGCAAAGCTCTAGGATGGGGGACAGGGAAAAACCACAGATCACTCAGATGTCCCCACAGGGATCAGAAATTGCTTCCTGGCTCCAACAGTAGGAGTGGCCACCACTCTCTTTCTGACAACACACCCTCTGGCCTGACATCCTTCAACGTCTCCCCATGGAATGTAGCCAAGCCTAGGCCAGTGGGTCTAGGCTCAGCCAAGCACATTCCCAGGCAGCAGACACAAGTCCAGTCCTGTCCTGGAAGTTTGAGTGCATGGAAGGAGGAGGATACGCGGAAGCCAGAAAATGTAGCCAGGGGCACTGGGAGTGTGCACAGCAGCAGGTGTGCCAAAGGCACCTAGGCCTGGCTAGCAGAACTCCTCCTCCTGGCCACACCAGGTGCTAGAGGGCTCCTGAAAAAGATGCTATGTTGGAAGAAACCAGAGCCCTAGTACTCCCTATATTCCACCCAATATTCCAATTTGTTCACATCCCTGGCCCGTGCCCCCAGCCTCTGGTCTACCCAGTCTGGTGCCATTTGGCACCCCAAACTTCATGCCAATATGAGCTAAGACTGTCAGGGAAGTCTACATTCCTGGACGCTGAGACAGTTCAGCTCAAGCAGGCCACAAGGACATGGGGCATCCCAGGCCACGTGGGTACCTTAGCAGGCCCCACACTGAAAAGCCTGTTGCTGGAACGCAAGGCATTGCTGTTGGCAGGGCAGGCCTAGCAGACTGAGAAGTCCATAGCAGATAACTATAGTGGACAAAGCCACCTACTTCCTTGGCCCACCCCTGGGCCCTCCCAGGCAGGCACCAACAGTTCTAAAGGCTGATGGGTGGTTAGGAGAGGGGGAAGCTTTCCCTGCCAAGTCACCAATCAGAGAAGCTGATCCCAGGGTAATCATAATGGAAATAAATAATAGCCAACCACCAGTCCACCTAATTACAACCACAGCTGTTTCAGAAAAAGCCCCAACGGCCCCTCCTCCTCCTTTCAGCCATTTAATGTGCTAATTAATGATGAGTTCACAGGGTCTAGACAGATCCACTCAATCCTAGGTTGATGCGGGGGAGGGGGATCAGGAGCCTGACCACACAGTCTAGGCTGGGAAAGAGGTGGGGAGTCTGGGTGGATTCCAGCCCATCAGTGCAAGGCCCACTCAAGGAGGCTGTGGGCACCTAGAGACCCTAAGCGTTTCCACTACAGCTATGAGTTCCCTGCCCCCTTCTCTGCTCCTCACACTCCAAACAGGGGGGTGTGGCTATGCTGCCTCTAGGCTATAAATAGGTGATGCTGGGCAGCAAAGTTGGATCTGTATTAATAGAGCAGGCAAGAGGGCAGCAGGACTGAGAGCAGCCCAACTCTTGCCCAAATTAACTTTCTATTTGCACTCAGGGGGCCCCAGGCATTGTCCCAACTCTGGTCCCATGCCTGCAGGGGCCTGGCCAGCCTATTTCTGGGAAGAAACCTCTCTACCTGCTCCTGCCCCACACCTCCAAAAGTCAGTCCACTCTGGAAACCAAAGAACCCCTTCTCATCCAAGCAAAGTTGTGGTCCGAGCCCCGCCCCCACCTCAATCCCCAAATGGGCTCAGGGCCAAGCAGTGTGCAGGTGGGTGGAGGAGAGGAGCTGCACATCTGGAGGGAAAAAAAACAGGGGTGGGGTTCCATTCTACTCTGAGAGAACAGGGGGGAAACACCACACACACACACACACACACACACACACACA